AAATGCTTCCAATATCCAAGTCTTAAGAACCATAGAGCAGTGTAATCCCAAGGACAAGTACAAAATCACACCAAAAGTGGTATGAGGGCCCTTTGAATTACTGCTGAACCTTTGGTGTTTGCTGGATGAAGCCTTGCCACACAGATTCACCACTGCACTTCATAACTATGTGGTTCGGCTCCTTTACTTGTCACATTAGAGAGATCTTCCATCTCAATAGTATTCCTCAGTCCACAGTTCTAGGAAACAAATACTTGCTCTTTGTTTTTTATATCTGAAATCGGAAGATCCCTCTTTTCGCCCCCATGGTGAGGCATACCTTAATTTACTTTTTGATTCTTGGTGCAGGATTTTGATTATTCAACAGTTGAGCATGATACAGGTATGCTTCTCTTTCTGTTTGCTCTGCTACTGATTTACTTTGAATTCTCCTCCGACCCAATGTTTTGCAGAGGATGTCATCTCACAAGGCTTGTTTACAGAGTGGAATCTAGCTGGTAGGATTTTCATGTATATGTTGATATAGACGTAGGAAAACTCTGGGTTGAGAATTTTGGGAGGTCTTTAAGGTTACTTAAAGGCCTTTTTTCTCTGTTGTCGAGTTTGATAGTTTATTTTTAGGGAATGCGAAATCCTAATAATCTGTTATGTCCTTAAACTCGGGAAACATACTATGTTGAACACAGTTTGGCTTCTTTTTCTTAAGGAACCTCTTATATTGTATGTAAGTTGATCTATATTCTAGACTTTGTGTGCTTCATGTATCTTTCTTTCCTGGGTTTTCAGAGTTTTTGAATGTTGATGATGATGAGGTAGCAGAAGCAGATGATGATGGTATGCCTAGTGCTGAAGAAACTCGTTATCTTGAGAACAGTGGATGGTCTTCTCGTACCAGGTGTGTATTTCCATTTATTCCCAAACACCCCCCAACCCAAAAAAAAAAAAAAAAGATAGATTTTGATGCATTAATGTTTTCCTTGAATTCAATATGCTAGAGGGTTACATACAAGTTGTGTTTTGGACTATTTTGTGTGCCTCATAGTTGCCATAGGCTTTGCTTTGATTTGTGTCAAAAATCTGGGAATAGATATAAACATGGTCAAACAGCAGGCTTCGGCTAGTGAGACAATTTATCCTCTTTTTTTGCATCGGCCTATTGCTATTTTTTTGTGGTCCAAGTTGTTTAAATTAGCAGGCTTGGGATGGGTAATTCCTGAGACTTTTTCTTCAATGCCATTGGAAGAATTTGAGGGATTTGGAAAGAATGGGAAAACCCTTTGGCATTGTGCAATTTTCGCAATAATGTGGGTGATTTGTCTGGAGAGAAACTCAAGGATAATCGAGGATAGAGCTGAATAGGAGGTTTTATGGGATTGGATCTATTCTTTGGCATCATTGTGAGCTTCAATTTCTAAGGACTTTGATGATGTTCCGCCCTTCTGTAAATTGGCAGATTGGAAGGCCTCATGTGCCCCTTAAATTTTATGTTACGAGTTTTGTTTTTTCCTTTTCATGGTTGGACATCTTGTCCATCCTGTTACCTCATAGATATATTATTGTCAAATCAATAAAATAGTATTCTTTCTTATCCGAAAAAAAAAAAAAAAGTGGGATTGGCTTGTGCTGGTCAGTCAATTTTTTCAACAGAAAAAGTTATAGGAGAAAAAGTTGTGTGTGTGTTTTTTTTTTTTTTTTTTTGAGCTTGTCACAGAAATAGCTTATTTAGCTTAATTTTGTGCACATTGTCTTGGAGGATTGGGACATAGCTAAAATTTTTTGTACCAGGTTTTTGTGAAGCATCTTTGCTGGTTTTGTACATGATTGCTCTGGATGCTGTTTTCCTTTGATATCTTGTATCAAGAGTTTCACCAGATAAGGTGATTTGAATAATGTGATCAAGTTTGTGCTGCTTGCGTGTCGAATGGCACAAACTGTTTGTTAATGGGAGGATATTGATCTAGTTGAATTTTGCTTATGGCAAACAGTCAAATGTGTTTGGGTTCTTTTGTGCTCCATAGTTGAAGAGTGGGAACTGTCTAAGCTTGAATAATTTGATTTTGGGAGCAAATTTGAACTATTGATTTGGTTTGCTGAGTGTATTTTTTGAACATGATGTGTTGCATGAACTCAAGTGCATAAAAGTAAAAAAAGTGTTGAGATTTTTATTATTATATTGTTATAATTGTAATAAGTGTACCACTCTAAGGGTATACTGGACTTTGGTAGTTTATTAAGTAACTATAAATATAAGTTGAGAGTGAGAGGTAGGTTAATTTGATACTACTCTCAGCCTCTCTCATATTGTGTTAAGTATTCTCATTCTCTAAACTTAATTGATAGCAAGGAGGCGGAGGCGAAGATGAGGAGAAAGAGTAAACTTTTTGCATCACTCCTAGATGTTAGGGTTCACGTTGTATCAAACAACCCCAAAACGTCATAGGCTGATGTATTAATGTTTTCCTTGAATTCAATATGCTAGAGGAGTACAATTTGATGCATGGGTCCCAATAACGAATATTTTATCTAATAAATTTTCTTATTTTGTTTCATTTGTGGATGATTATCCTTGTGCGACTTGGATATTTGTTATGAAAGTTCATTCCGAATTGTTTATATATTTGAGACATTTTGTAAGGAAATCAAAATTTAGTATGGTTGTCGTATTCGAATTTTGCATTCTGATAATGCTCGTAAATATGATTCTGAGTTTTTTCTACTTGATCTTCGTAAGACTGACATTATTCATCAAATTTCATGGCCTACACATCTCAACAAAATGGTGTAGCTGAACGTAAGGATCATCATTTGTCGGAAGTGACTCGCACACTTCTATTTCAGGTGAATATTCCTTGATGTTTTTTGGAATCATGCAGTTGTTACACTTTGTCATCTTATTAATCATATGCCCTCTTCAGTGTTAAATGAGAAGAGTCCATATTCTATCATCTTCCCTGATTCTCCTCTATTTTCCTTATCCCCTAAGGTCTTTAGCTGTGTCTATTATGTTCACAACTTGGGTACCGGTTTTGAGAAACCTGGCCCCCGTGCTACAAAATGTGTCTTTCTTGGTTATTCTCACACACTGAAGAGGTATCCTTGCTATAGTCTCATCCTTAATTGATACTTCACTGGTGCAGATGTCACCTTCACTAAATCGGACCCATATTTTCCAACTTCTACTCATTCTTTGGACCTTGATTTTGGGCAGTCATCTCCACCCCCCTTCCTCTACCCTCTGTTCCTCCACTACCTACTAAGGTGCCCCTTCCATCTTCCTTGTTGTTTTTCGATACTTGTCCCTGCTCCTATTGATTCTTTACCAATTACTCTTCGTAAAGGTATTCGGTCGTGTGTTACTAACCGTCCTCTTAGTAATTTTGTTTCTTATGATGTATTATCTCCTGTCTTCTCTTGCTTTACTTCTCAGTTGTCTACTATTTTTATTCCTAAGACATTACAAGATGCATTGTCTAATACGGGTTGGAGGAAAGCTATGGAAGTGGAGATAGATGCCTTACATCATAATGACACTTAGGATTTAGTTCTTTTACCTCAGGTAAATGGACTGTTGGTTGTTGGTGGGTATATACCGTCAAATTTAATCTCGATGGTTTTGTTGAGCGCCTCAAAGTCCGAGTTGTTGTCAAGGGCTTTATCAAACTTATAATGTTAATTATCAGGAGACATTCTCTCTTGTGGCCAAAATCTCTTCAATTCGTGTTTTGATTTTTTTGGCTGCTAATCTTGATTGACTCATATTTTAGCTCGATATCAAAAATGTTTTCTTACATGGTGACTTGGTTGAAGAAGTCTACATGAAGCAGCCACCTGGATTTGCTGCTGAGGTGGAGCATCATAAGAGTGTATCGACTAAGGAAGTCTCTGTATAGTTTAAAGCAGTCACCGAGGGCATAGTTTTGTAAGTTCTCAGATACAGTGTTAGAGTTTAGTCTTTTCAGATGTCAGACAGACCATTCTGTTTTCCACCGATAGAATGATATAGGGTATATTACATTGGTTGTTATGTGGATGATATCATATTTAAGAAGGATATCTATTTGTCTTAGAGAAAATATGTATTTGACAGGCTGGAGGATGTATGTTTGCTGGGTGGTAGGCCAGTCGATATTTCTATGGATCTAAATCAAAGGCTTTTGATGGATGATGGTGAACTGTTTGAAAATCCAAGTCAGTGTTGCAGGTTGGTTGGAAAGCTAAATTATCTCACCATTACCTGACCAAATCTTGCTTATATAGTTAATGTTGTGAGTTAGTTTATGAGATGTCCTAGAGTGCCACATTGGGATACAGTTATTTGCATTTTTCGATACCTCAAACTTGCCTCTGAACTTGGGGATTGTATCGGGTTGATGGACATCTTAGAGTGAAAAGTTATACAAATGCTAATTAGGTCGGTTTTCCCTCGAATCAAAGATCAACTATTTGTTATTGTACTCTCTTGGGAGATAATGTCACATAAAAAAGTAAGAAACAAATAGTAGTAACACGGTCTGGTGCTTTCAACTAGTGAGTTGACATGGTTATTACATTTTGTTCGAAAAATTGGTTTCTCAGTTCAACTTCCCCGTATAGATGTTTTGTGATAATCAGACAGTCATTCATATTGCTGCTGATCTCATATTTTATTAGAGGACCAAACATATTGAAGTTGATTGTCACTTTATTTGTGACAAAATATTTGATGGAGATATTGCAACACCATTTGTGAAATTAGAGGATCAGCTTGCATATATGTTCACCAAAACATTGAGTCGCACTAGTCTTACAACCATCTGTTCTAAGTTTGTATTATATTGTTATGATTGTAATAAGTGTACCAATCTAATGGTATACTGGTCTTTGGTAATTTATTAAGTAACTATAAATACAAGTTGAGAGGGAGAGGTAGGTTAATTTGATACTACTCTTAGCCTCCCTCATATTGTGTTAAGTATTCTCATTTTCTAAACTTAACTGATAGAAAGAAGGCGGAGGCGCAAATGAGGAGAAAGAGTAAACTTCAGGCATCACTCTTAGATGTTAGGGTTCACGTTGAATCAAACAACCCCAAAAGGCCGTAAGCTGATGTATTAATGTTTTCCTTGAATTCAATATGCTAGAGGGGTGCAAACAAGTGGTCTTTTGGACTATTTTGTGTACCACATAGTTGCCGTAGTGCCATGCTACAAAGAAAGTTCTAGGAGAAAACTTTTTCTTTTTTCATTTCTTGTTTGCTCTCTCTCTCTCTCTCTTTATATATATATGTGGGTGTGCGTGTGTGTGTTTCTGTGTGCATGTATGTGTGTGTATCTATGTTTTTGAGCTTGTCAAAAAATAGCTTGTTTAGCTTAATTTTGTGCACACTGGGTTGGAGGATTGGGGACATGGCTGAAATTTTTTGGACCAGGCTTTTGTGAAGCATCTTTGCTGGTTCTGTACATGATTGCCATGGATGATGTTGTCCTTTGATATTTTGTATCAAAAGTTTCACCAGATAAGGTGATTTGAATAATGTGAGCAAGTTTGTGTTGCTTGCGTGTTAAATGGTACAAAGTGTTTGTTATAAAGGGAGGATATTGATCCAGTTTGAATTTCAGTCAAATGTGTTTGGGTTCTTTTGTGTTCCTAGAGAGGGAATTGTCTAAGCTTGAATAATTGGATTTTGGGAGCAAATTTGAACTGTTGATTTGGTTTGCTGGTTGTATTTTTTGAACATGATGTGTTGCATGGACTCAAGTGCATAAAAGTAAAGATATAAAGGAGGTGGAGGTGAAGATGAGGAGAGAGAGTAAACTTCCGGCATCACTCCTAGATGTTAGGGTTCACGTTGCATCAAACAACCCAAAAAGAAAAAGGCCTCCAAAGGGCTATGACCTATATAAATAAGGACTGCTCCTGAACTCAATGTGAATCTCGATTCTTCATTCTCCCAATTTGGGAAATTGGACTTTGATAGATAAAAGACAGATAAAGTTACTAAACTGATATAATATAATCAAACTAGTTATTTCTCGTGCCTGACGGTACAGAATAATAAAAAAAAATGATCAACAATAAACATATTTGTATTTACACTTAAAATCAAATTACAAAGATAGAGGAGAAATAAATGAATTTAAACACCGGTTATAGTGGAGGGGAGCGATGGTAGGGATGGTGGGCAGCAGTGGTGATGGTGGGCAGCAGTGATGATGGTGGGAGACGGTGATAGTTGTGATAGATGATGACAACTAGTTGTAATGGTGACAGTTATAGGTGACAATGGTGATGGTGGTTGGGGGGTGATGTGGTAGGGGTGATGGTGGGATAGTGGCGGTGGTGGTAAAGTGGCAGCAACGGTGGTGGTGGTACTGGTGATTGTGGTGGGTCTGGTGGTGGTAGAGGTGTTGATGAGACGGTTTGCAAATACTATTTTTTTTTAAAGTACTTATGAGAAGTTTTAAGTATTAAAAACACTTTTAAAAAACCACCCAAAATGCACTTTAGGGCCCTATTTTCCATATTAAATTTAGAGTGTTAATATTAGCCGTCAGATTAACTTTAAAGTAAAATTTAAAAAGATCTCAACCGCGAATAGTAAAAATCATTTTGTTTATCTTTTGAGATTTGAATTGTATTGTACTTTATTATGTAGATAGTCTGTCTATTTTTATGGGACCACGTGCCAATACTTAGATCCTTGTCCAGAATCTCTAGAAATTACGACAGTGCTCTTCATTCATAATTGAATTTACAAAAAAAGTGAGCAGCAGCTTAATTATATAAGATTCTATGAGCGGGAGCTCAGGAAGGGGGCCTCATCTTGAAGTTGAGGCTGATTCCAAAGTTTCTTGTTTCTTCAAATTCTTTTTCTTGAGCTTCTTTTAGATTGCATTAGCAAGTTTTGTCCTGTTTGTCCTGTCGTGAATGTTTCGAGCTTTAATGTGACTGTTTTTCTGAAAACCATTATTATTGATAGAAGGGCTCTAGTATCTCTGTACAAGTTTCATATTTTCTGTTTCTTGTAGAGCTGTTGCCAAGTACCTCCAAAACTTGTTTGATTTGGAAGCAGAGCGTGGAAGGAAGGTTCTTCCAGTGGACAACCTGCTAGTTGGTAAAACTCGTAAGGAGGCATCAAGGATGTTTTTTGAAGCATTGGTATGTTTACCAGAGTTCCTTACTGGGTATACTTGTCTTTTTGTGCATCTACATACTTGGCTTAGTATCTTTCTTATGTGGATTTAACGGTGGCAAGGTTAGATCTAAAGTGATGATGATGTCTCTTTTATCATTTGGTTCACATGTTCTTGTTTTTTCCTTCATGTGCACTTGATTTAAAGGCAGACAAGGTTTGGGGTTAGCCCTCATCTTTGAATTTAATTTGGCTTAATATCATTTTTGTGCTGGTAACTGCACAGTACTGATTTAGTTCAAAAATCCAATTAATTGTTAGATCGTACATAGTCAGTACTAGGCACTACACATCTTATTACCCTTCTACTATGAAGGTAAGATTTGCCATCTGGAGTTATACTTCATGTTCCCAGTGATATCTTCACAAGTGACATATCTCATCTGACTATGTTATTTGTATTTTTCTTAGATACCCTTTTTGGGGTAATGACGTTATTATTAAAAACTGAGGCCCTAATTTGCTAGTAATATTAGCACATTGGGCAAAGATGAATATTCTGATTGTTTTTAGTTTGACCTCATCAATGTTGTTATTACTGTAACCTTGCAGGTACTTAAAACAAGAGATTACATCCATGTAGAACAGGAGAATCCCTTTGACACCATTAATATAAAGCCTGGAGTGAAGCTTTTGAAATCCTGTTTTTGATATCTCACGTAGGATTATTCACAGTTACCATGAACGGATGTACTTGTAGTCGGCAGGCTTTAGGCTCAGCATGGGAGATTATTTATCTTTAGGTCCATTCTTTTTGAAGTTACACTTCTATAGTTCATGTAATTGGTGGTTTTAGATAGTTTTAGCCTGTGGGTTGAGTGGAGCATGTATCACTATGTGATGGTAGGGTGTAGTGCTGTTATGTGGATAATATTTACGTGTATGTAATCTGTAAAACTTAGCTGTCAAATATAAGTGATTCTAAGTGCTAACCTTGTTTATTCCACTGTATGATGAGTTGTATTTGTCCATACTCGATTTTCTATGCTGTGAGCTGAGCATGATGAAAAAGGACTTGGACATATACTTGATCACCTTTTTTTTTGCCCCCCATTTGAACCGAGAGACTGGATTATATGGCGTGCTTGGGAGTGAGTAGTTCCTTAACCAGGAGGGGTAAGTGCATTTTAATCTTTAGATGGGTGGAGATTTTTTTTTTTTTTTTGCTTGTTTCCAAATATGAGAGCATCCCTGCATTAGCTCCGGAGTGGAAACCATAAGAGCTGGAAATCTGTTGCAGTTATCCTCTCTTGAAATCCCTCACGCATTGGCATAAATGTGGCAATAATTAGTCGATCTAATTTTAAGGCACTGGACAAGATGAGATGTCAAACGAAGGGTGCTGTTTTTACGTACTGAAATGGCATGAACACTCAGTTGAGACATTTGTACATGGACTTTGTTTTTTGGGGGATGGGGGGATCATAATTTTGCGGAGTTTGGGTCATAGTTAAAGAGTAAAAAGTTATGTTCTGAAATTTAAGGTCTTGGGTTCCGGAAAAGACCTAGACCATGATTCCCGCAACTCTGGAAACGCAAGCCTGTAATCCCAGGAACCAGTTCAGAGATTAATCTAGCAAGCAGGATTGGCTGCTATATCAAATAATAAACATGCAGGGTACACTCAGTTCTCCTAAAACATTTTACGGCACTAGACAAGATGAGATGTCAAACAAAGGGTTTTTTTTTTTTTTTTAACGTACTCAAATGGCATGGACACTGAAGTAAAAAGCTATGTTTTGAACTTTAACCAAGGTCTTGGATTTCGGAAAAAGACCTGGACCATGATTCATGTGACTCTGAAAACACAAGCTTGTAATATCAGGATCCTGGTCAGAGATTAATCTAGCAAGCAAGATTTGGTTGCTATATCAAACAATAAACGTGCAGAGTCACCCAATTCTCCTAAAAAGCCTCTAGCAAGCAAGATTTGGTTGCTATATCAAACAATAAACGTGCAGAGTCACTCAATTCTCCTAAAAAGCCTAATTTCTGGAGGTAGCTGGAGCACAAACAGGCTATTTTTCATGCGACAATTTACCAATGAAACCAAATTCTCAGACAAACTTTGTGAGACAGTTAGGTCCATGTTTGTGTGGGTATTAGAATATTTAGAGGACCTTTTTCCTAGTACTAGAGGATAGGGAAGGAAGTTCCTTTGGTGTTCCCATTACCGTGTCCATAATAAACACCGACTAGTCAAATATGAAACAGATAACTGCTGAAATCTTTTACTCGATACCATAGAAGTCACTCTTAATTCTTCGTATCATATTTTGGGGTTGGGGCCCTCATTATCTAACTACAGTTTGAAAACTGTCTTTATGCAAATTATTGGTTCTACTAAGTTTCGGCACTTCTTGAGGACCTACCAAATTGATAGGGTGAATTCAAAAAATTAGCGGGATTAATTTTTCTACCTCTCTATGCAAACTAAATAGGTGATGTACAAAAATTAATCAACTAAAAATAAAAGCAGATAATAAATCAACCACAAACAAGATACAAAATTTATGTGATTCCCCTAAATTAAGGGTATGACCACGAACACAGCTCTCAACCTTCTACTATAATCTAATAATGGGTTTACAATAATCCTCTATAGAACAATTCATAGAGGCTATCAAAGTATCAATAATTCATTACCTGAAAATGGGTATCAACAAAATAACAATAAATTTAACTCCATAGGTCTTGCAAAAATATCAATCTGAGAAGGGTTTCGACAAAAATAAATTGGTCATTACGTAGTACTCGTTATTGTGAACAACATACTAAAATTTCATGCTGAGGTAACTGTCTGGTATATCTTCTTAACTGAGTTTTAACAGCTGGTTCTGGAGGAGCTAGCTCTACATGCTGAGGTAACTCAAGAAGGACTTGCTTTGGATGTTGTGGTTCTATAGGATCAAATAGAGATACTTCATCAACATCAACTACTAGTTCACTAATTTCATCAATTGTATCAACCTATTCTTCTTGGATGTCTCCCTCGTGATTATCATGTATAATGGGTGAAAGAGAGACTGGACCTAAAGCAACAAGTACTTCACTGAAAAACACCAGAGGTGTAGCCCATTCCAAGTCTTCAATGGTATGGTCTTCCAAGAAAACAATATCTCTACTTCTAAAAATTTTCTTGCCAATTGGATCCCACAATCTGTAACCAAACTCTTTATGTACATAACCCAAGAAGATACATTGTTTAGCCTTATTGTCAAGCTTGTATCTCTCATGTTGAGGAATGTGAACAAATATCCTACAACCAAACATTCTGAAGTACTTAAAAAAAAACATCATTACTTCTCCAAACTCTTTCAAGAATATCACCATCCAAAGGAGCAAACGGAGAAAGATTAATTAAATCAACAGTTGTCCTCATTACCTCACCCCAAAAAGATGTAGACAATTTTGCATGGAAGAGCATACATCTGATTCTCTCACAAATCGTTCTGTTCATTCTCTCTATTAGTACTATTACCCCTTTATGTTGTGAACTCTTTGGAATAGTCTTCTCAAGTCTGATACTATGATTTTTGCAATACTTTTCAAAGAGTCCACGGTATTCACCACTATTATCTACTCGAACACACCTTAGTTGCCTTACTGTTTCCCTTCCAACTTTAACATGAAAAGCTTTGAACGCATTTAATACTTGATATTTAGTTTTCAAAGCCTAAAGTGACAATCAATAAAAGTCACAAAATATAATGTATTACCCAGAGATGTTGTTTTCATAAAGCAGACATCAGTATGAACTAAATCCAAGACATTATCTTTTCTTGAGGGAGGAGATTTAACAAATGCAACTCTATTTTATTTTCCAACAAAACAATGAGTGCTAGGCTTTAGTAGCATACCTCCAATGTTAGGTAGGAGTTGCTTCTTAGTTAAAATTTGAAGTCCCTTATCAGATATGTGGCCAAGTCTCTTATGCCACAGCTCCGTGGAAAAATCATACTCAAGTACGTTCACATCACCTTTCATTATATTTGTCTCAGTCTTGTAGAGAGTGTTAATCTTCTTTCCCTTGGCTAAGATAAGACAACCTTTGTGATGTCACAAAATCCGAGGGTCCTCTCTCAATCTGTTGATTACCCATCAAACCATGAAAATACCTGTGAGTATCGCCTAACTTGATACCATGTCGTTACACTCCATTCATCGGGATTATAACTAGAACAAAATTTGGACAGAGTCTCTTTCGTACGAAAGAACTACCCAACACATTCCTATACACATATTAATCATATGACCATTCCAAGGTCCAAACTCCATATCTAAAACTTAAAATTTGACAATTTATATCATCCAAAGGAAAGAGCTCAAGATGTGAAGGCTCAGCAATATTACATTCAAATTTCAGTTTTGGGAAGAGGTACCAATACCTGGGGTAAGTGTACCGGTACTTGAGCTCTCTGATTGTTAGGTACCGGTACCTGGGCCCCCGACAGCGTGGTATTAGTACCTGTGAGCATAAGTATTGGTATCTGAGCCCATTGTTATCGGGGTACTAGTACCTGCGAGTCTAAGTATCGGTACCTGAGCCCACTAGAAGCCAGGTACTCATGAGGTACCAATACCTAGAGCCCATATTTTTCCAAATTTCTTAAAACTCAACTTTTAGCCATACAACTCTTACAACACCCATTACATTCATCTTGTTCACAAAATAACAATGTCCAAGAGTGTCCCATTACATGCCTTTGTCAATAGTACAAGTTTTGTACAAAATTTATACAAGGCCAAAACATAATAAAACAAGAAATTACAACATGTAATTCAAGAGCCTCAACCCGGCTCTGTCATCAACTTGGGCCCAAGTGAGGATCGTCTGCTGAAGCTTGTCCAACACCTAAAATATATATCCTTATAAAGGGTAAACCACACTCAGTAGGATATCTCCTAAGGAGGTTACTCCTTAACCTAAATTCATATGAAATGTCACATGCAAGTTCTCACATTAAGCATTTATTCAAATACATATATTTCATAAATGAATGCTACAATCCCATGCCATGGGATGGAATCTCATACATAACAATGCAAACCCGAGCCCTCCACCGGCTCTGATAACACATGTTATGCCATGCGTATGCATTCGAACATTCTAAACCCTCGCCATTGATGTTAGACATCCAATGACCATTTTAACAAACCTTGTGTCTTTTTGGGTGGATAATTTATGGACATCACACCAACAATCTAGCAAACCGACACGACATTTGAGGGCATCACACCTCCGATTCAGAGTACACTGACACACTTTTATGAAATTTCACCACCAATCAAGTGAGTGAACCAAATAACCGGGCCTTACACTCGAGAAAAAATCTATCCCTTCTTATTACACTCGACACGTATTTTCAAGGTAACCCGTGCAACTCAGTTGAACCTTGGTCCAACCTTCCCGAGTTCACGTATTAACCCACCAAAGATGGTGTTTGATAAAAAACACGCACACACACCCACACTCATGTCGAATGCCCACAAATGCGATGCTACCCGTGCATATGTAAATATAATGTACAATTACATTTCATATAATTATGCGATCAAATTGTATAATTGCAATTTATATTACATGCTCATTATATCATAAGATACATAATGAATATATCCATTTTTCCACAAACAATTCCAAGCATGTT